ATGAATTGTGACTTTTTTTTTTTAAAGGTTTTATTTATTTATTTCACAGAGAGAGATAGCGAGAGCAGGAACACAAGCAGGGGGAGTGGGAGAGGAAGAAGCAGGCCTCCCGCAGAGCAGGGAGCCCAATGTGGGGCTAGATCCGAGGACCTGGGATCATGACCTGAGCCGAAGGCAGATGCTTAACGACTGAGCCACCCAGGCGCCCTGAATTGTGACTTTTTAACAAAGGTTTACACAGGTCTTAGTGTGACTTTAGCAAAATACCTAACATGTAATTCATTAATTCCATTTTTTAATCCTTAAAGAAAGAAAGAAAATTAATTAATTTTACAGGACTGTTAAGAGTCTTGAGGCCTGTTGAAGGGTATTTGACATAGGGTGTCCAAAGCAGGTTGGCATTGAGAGTATTTCAACTTAAACTTTTGTAAGTCATTTTTACTTAGCATTCTTAAAAGGAAATATGTTTATAAAGCAATAAAATCTGTTTATTTGTGGCATACATATTTCTCATATAATAAAGTTGAAAAAAGGAACTATAATTTCATCACTGGTTTCAAGGCAGCTGACTCTAATGGAATTATTTAATCAATAGTATAGATGTTTACTGTTTTTGGATGTTACTATTTTCACAAACTTGAAATGTATATTCAGGTATCTCATGCAGTATTCAATAATAAAGAAAATCTTAGGGGCGCCTGAGTGGCTCCGTCGTTAAGCGTCTGCCTTCGGCTCAGGTCATGATCCCAGGGTCCTGGGATCGAGCCCCGCATCGGGCTCTCCGCTCAGCGGGAAGCCTGCTTCTCCCTCTCCCACTCCCACTGCTTGTGTTCCCTCTCTCACTGTGTCTCTCTCTGTTAAATAAATTAAAAAAATACAGAAAATCTTACATCTAAATTACTTTATTTTGATAATTTTAACTTTTTTGGCGGGGAAGTTAATCCTAAAAACTAAATTTTACAAGAGTAATTCATTATGCCAGCATAACAGCCTTGCTGAATGAAGGCAGATATTAGTAGATAGCAGGTGGCAGTACTGAGTGCAACAATCAACCAGATCAGTGTAGATAATTATTAAATATTAAGCAAATGTAACTTGATTGTTTTTGTATGCTTTAAAAATAATTAGATTAATTAAAAGAAGGCATGAGTCAGTGCGTGAGAACAGACCACGTGATGAGTTTGTGTTCCAAAAGACTGAGTAGGTTTGAGATCCACAGAGTGCTGACCAACAGGCTGCGTTCGGGCTTTGTTTTTTTGTTTTGCAGCAAGGATTCTCACTGGCAGACCTTCAGCTCTGCTAACCAACTGGTGCTCTCTAGTGGTTGTGTGAGGCTTTAAACAAGACCTGCTACTATGGGATCAAGAAAAAATCTCTGTGGAGAGTAAGAGCAGGCCTCTTGCGCTGCTCTTCTTGCAAACAGTTTTCTTCCCAGGGCTGAATACAGTCACCAAGTCCTACCTTCCCAGCCAGGCATTAGCCAGACACCTGTTGGACACAAGCTAGCAGGATGGTGACTGACGGATGCTGGACCTACAAACACAGACTCTTTCCTACTTCACATGTTTTATAAATTATGGTCTGCAAAAAAAAGCAGAGATTAGCTCAGCAGAAACTCTATCACTGATGTTTGGTATTTCCTTTCTTAATTATTAGTCATTATTCTTAAGTTATTGTACTGTCAAGATCTGGAACATTCTAGCTATTAAATTAACACTGAATGAATGAATGAATGCATGCATGCGTGGTAGAAGCTATTTTAGGAAAAACAGTCTATGCAGAGATTATTGACGAAGAGGAAAGGATTAGATATGTGAGCAAAAACAGGAAAGAAAGAACTCTGATTCCTTTTTCTGAAATACATTTTTCCTACTTTATATGAGTGTTTGATCATATGGTTTTAATACATTTTCGTATATGATTTTCAATTTTGTATGTGTGAAGTTTTTCAAAGATTAAATCATCCATTGCATTTTGTTATATCATATCTACTGTTTCCGCACATGTACAAATACTGGAGGGTCTTTCTTCATTTTGGAGGTCATTGTTTACATAGACAGGAAAAAAAAAGTCTAATTTAAGCAGATATTTGATTTGTAGAACAGTGCATTTGTGGCCTTAGAGGACTATGATGAAGGGTTTATGAGAATATAGTGTCAATTGCATTACTTGTTACTGTAGGGAAAGCTAGTGTAGGGGGAAAGACCAAATCTGAGGCCTTCTAAGTTCTAATCTCAGATTTTCACCAACCCTAGGTTATTTTGGGAAAATAACATAATCTCTCTTATGTTCCTCTTCTTCATTTTCAAAATGAGATAACAATTTAAGCTCACACAAAAGTGTGATCATAAGTTCTAATGATGTAATGTATGTGGAACACAGTTAAAAATCACTTCATATTTGGGGCACCTGGGTGGCTCAGTCATTAAGCATCTGCCTTCGGCTCAGGTCATGATCCCAGGGTCCTGGGATTGAGCCCCGCATCGGGCTCCCTGGTCAGCGGGAAGCCTGCTTCTCCCTCTCCCATTCCCCCTGCTTGTGTTCCCTCTCTCGCTGTGTCTCTCTCTGTCAAATAAATAAAATCTTTTAAAAAAAAATCACTTCATATTTGAATTATTACTACCATGGGCACTACTCAATTAGGGAAACTATCTTAATCCCCAGACTGATACCGTCTTTTTGTTACCCCTATGTCCAATCAGATGTACTTCTATAGCCTTCCAAGACTTTCAGTCATACGCTTTTCCTCTGGTCTTAAACTTAGCCTGTATTATAAATAGGGAATGCTTTGAGGCAGTTCCAGCTTTTATCAGTATCTTCACTCCCCAGTACCTAGCAATACCTAGCACATTACCTGACAAAGAAAATGTGCTTACTATTCTTTTAATTAATTGGACCATGAATGAATAAATATAGGACATATATTCATTGAGGATATATCAGCAAAAACAGATGATAAAATCTACAGCAAAGGGTCTCATAATTTTTTTAAAAGATAATTCTGTAATAGTTTACAGTCTTGTATTTTAAGACACTTTTGGTGTAAATGTACTTATATAAATGCTATCAAGAAAGTAAACCAGTAACAGAGTGACTCTAGGTTGTATTGTCAAGGAAGATCTTGAGGAAATGATGCTTGAACTGACATCTTGAGGCATATTGATTATACTATTAATATAAATCAAATAGGTATATAAAATATATATTGATATATCCATCAATAAATATGTGGACATTTACAGTATGGTTAATGAATGTCTTTGAGTTCAATAATAACAAAATCCCTGATTTAATTCCTGTATCTGAAAAGGTCAGTGGGAAAACTTCATGACATAATATGGTTCTTTGCAAGAATCACTTCCATAAGTGAAACCTCTATCAAGGTTTTAAAAGTAAATAAATGAAAGCTACAGGAAATCAGGAAGTAGCTTCTTAGCTGCATATTTTAGCTGTGAAATACAGTATCAAATTATTTAAGGAATTTTATGAATCAAAGTTATTTTATTATAAATTCCTTTGAATATTTAATAAAATAGTTCAATTTAAAATAGTTCAATATTATGCATTTGTATAGATATTTTTTATTCAAGTATAATTAACATACAGTGTATATTATTTTCAGATGTACAATATAATGATTCAACAATTTTGTACACTTTTTAGTGCTCATCAAAATAAATACACTCTTATTCCCCCATCACCTCACCTACCTCCCCTCATTTTTTCACATATGGATAACCAGATTTGCTAGCATCATTTGCTGAAAAGTCAGTCCTTCTTCCTCTCCTGATCTGCAGAGACACTTTTGTCATAATTGCCTGTATCTGTGCACCTGTTTCTGGGATCTTTTTCTCTTTTATTGGTCTATCATTGCTACACAGATACTATACTGCTTTAATTCATACAGCTTTCCAATAAATTTTGATATCTGGTCTAAAAAAATAAATGTTATAACTCTAACATATTTTATTATGTAAACCTCAAGCCACAACAACAAAAAAATATGTATAGAAGTTACACACACATAAGAGAAAGAAATCAAAGCATACCAATGCAAAAAATCAGCAAAACACAAAGGTAGACATCAAGAGAAAAAATACAGATAAAAGAATAAGACTAACAGAAAAGAACAAAATGGCAACAGTAAATCCTTCTCTATCAATAATTACTTTAAATGTAAATAATTAAACTTAAAAAAGACATTGAGTGCTAGAATGGGTAAACAAACAGACAGACAAAGCACAAGACCCAACTGTATGCTTTCTAGAATAAACTCACTTTAGCTATAAGGACACACACAAGCTGAAAGTGAAAAGTTAGAAAAAGATATTTCGTGCGAATGGTAAATAAAAGAGAGCAGAGGTGGCTATATTTATATCAGATAAAATAGACTTTAAGTCAAAAACTGTCACAAGAGACAAAGAAGGACATTATATAATGATAAAAAGATCAATTAAGAACATGCAACAGTTATAAATGTATATGTACCCAACATCAGAGCACCCAAATATATAAAACAAACATTGACAAACAGAAAGGAGAACTAGAACAGCAACACAACAACAGTAGGAGACTTCACTACCCCACTTTCAGCAACAGATGGAACATCCAGACAGAATATCAATAAGGAAAACAACAGACTTGAACACGCTTTAGACCAAATGAACCTAACAGACATATAGAGAGTGCTCCACTCAATGGCAGCAGAACACACAGCTTCTCAAGCACACAGAGAACATTCTCCAGCATAGAGTACATGTTAGGTCACAAAACAAATCTTACAACATTTAAGACTGAAATGATACTAAGTGTCTTCTCTGATGACAAAGGAATGAAATTACAAACCAGCAGCAGAAGGGAAACTGGAAAATTCACAAATATATAGACATTGAACAAGTTCTCTACAGGAGAGAAGATAAAATGTATCAGATATTTTTGGAGCTGAGAGCTTTGGGCAACAATGGGCAGAGTGAATTATTAAAAATACAGTTTTCTGAGCCCGCCAGAGCCACCTCTGCCAGCAGCATGTTCAAGGTAATTCAGAGGTCTGTGGGGCCAGCCAGCCTGAGTCTGCTCACCTTCAGAGTCTATGCATCACCTAAAAAGGACTCACCTCACAAAACTTCTGTGAAAGTTAATGAGCTTTCACTCTACTCCATCCCTGAGGGTCAATCTAAATATGTGGAGGAGCCAAGGACCCCACTTGAAGAAAGCATTTCACATCTCCGACATTACTGCGAGCCATATACAAGTTGGTGTCAGGAAATGTACTCACAAACTAAGCCCAGGATGCAGAGCTTGGTTCAATGGGGGTTAGGCAGCTATGAGTATCTCCAAAATGCACCTCCTGGAATTTTTCCAAGACTTGGTGTTATTGGTTTTGCTGGCATTGTTGGACTTCTTTTGGCTAGAGGTTCAAAAATAAAGAAGCTGGTGTATCCACCTGGATTCATGGGACTTGCTGCCTCTCTTTATTATCCACAACAAGCCATCGTATTTGTCCAGGTCACTGGGGAGAAATTATATGACTGGGGTTTACGAGGATACATAGTCGTAGAAGATTTGTGGAAGGAGAACTTTCAAAAGCCAGGAAATGTGAAGAATTCACCTGGAAATAAATAGAATGCTCCATGCTCTGCCCATTTTAATCAGTTATAGGTAAACATTGGAAACTCCATGCAGCAAACCAGTATTTCTACAGAAAAATGGCAGAGAAGTCAGTACTGAATATAGTAAATTGGCTTTCTTCTTCAGGACAAACTATACTAGGCTTCTTTGTTATCTTGGGTGATGCCATACTGCAAGTGGACTAATCGGAAATCCTTTCACCTAGAGATAATGTCTAGCCTTAGAACTCCTCGTTCTCAAGTTGCTATTTATGTACATAATTAAAATTCCAAATTAAAAAAAAATACAGTTTTCTAAGTCTTAGTAAATAGTCATGTGTATAATACGAATAAGTACAAGTCATACCAGAATGACCTCATATTCCTGGTAGTTTTATACTAATGTGTCTGAAAAAGACTCATAATAAAGTATATGTGGTGTTCATTGGGATATTTGACAAAATCTACCATAATACCAATCTGCATGAAAGAAGTTTTATTTAGGTTAGGTGTCATTAGTTGGGAGAGAGATCATTTGCTATATGCCAGATGTATTGTCTTTGGTCTCATCATGTCCCACATTTTAAGAAAGAGAAAGATAAGTATCATATGATCTCACTGGTATGAGGAATTTGAGAAACAAGACAGAGGATCATAGGGGGAGGGAGGGAAAAATGAAACGAGCCGAAACCAGAGAGGGACACAAACCATAAGAGACTCTTCATCTCAGGAAACAAACTGAGGGTTGCTGGAGTGGAGGGGGGTGGGCAGGATGGGGGGGCTGGGTGATGGACATTGGGGAGGGTATGTGCTATGGTGAGCGCTGTGAATTGTGTAAGACTGATGAATCACAGACCTGTACCCCTGAAACAAATAGTACAGTATATGTTAATAAAAAATTTAAAAAAAGAATGCTTCAATTAACATAACGAATTTGTAATGGCACACAACTTGGATAGCTAATGCATGGAGTGACAGAGTCATACACTCCAAACACTCTGAAATTCAGAGAAAATGAAGAATCTGACAAGATGAATCTTTTAAGTTTGTATTAAAATCTAAACTGAAAAAGTAATGGGGTAGGGAGAATTATCTTAATTTATAGAGGCTCAAAAAAGCACAAGGGGAGGTTCAGTGGCCACGTTCTTTACTTCCACAAATGATTTTTGTGTTTAGTGTAATTACTGGCTTCTAGTTCATCAGGAACTTGATAATGTTCCTTATTAGAACAGTCTTCTTTCTGGGCATTAGAAGCTCTACACCTAACAAAAACAAGATCTTGGATGAAATAGGTGATGGGGATTAAGGAGCACACTCGTGATGAGCACTGGGTGATGTAAGGAAGTGTTGAATCACTATATTGTACCCCTGAAACTAATATTACACTGTGTGTTAATTATACTGTAATTTAAATAAAAACTTAAAAAAATAAAATGTAAAAAACCCCAGCAAGACCTTGGGTAAAGGAAGCAATTTCTTCATGTGGATTATAAGGTGTAATAATGGGAGGGGGGCACGTTGAAGTTGAATCCTAACTCCATGCTTTGATTCATAGACCAGTACGTTCTGTCTATGGCACCAGCTGATGTCACCACTGTGCCTTCAAAAAGTCATTTCAGCATCCTGCCCAGCACGTTGCTTATGGATAAATAAATTCTGCAGGCATGAACTGATTACCAAACTTTCTTTTCTGCAAAATGTCAAATGCAAGGATGTGTGGAAAATCATGACAACAAAGAAGACATTCTGTAGCTTTGTGAATGGTGATGCTAGCAGAAGCATCGCAGCTAGAGAAGTCAAATCTACTCCTAAAGTATGTGATTATTCCTGTGAGCACAAAGCACTAGACAGTGCATGATGGAAGATTCTTAAGTAATAGATCTGCCATCAGGAGGTTGGCTGGTTTCCCTCTGAAATTGTGCTCTGCTTTGGTCTCTGCCTTTAACAGGTTGGGCATTTGGCAAGGTTTTAGCAAAATCAGCCATGATGGGGGAGGACCTTATTATCTGAGCTTATAACTTCCATCCTTACTGTCCTGGATCATTTTACAGGTGACCATTTAATAAGGTCCAGGATGTCTGAGATGTCTGAGGAAAGAGGCTGACTGACATCCACAAGATAGGTCACTGTGTCCACCCAGTTATTAATAAATACACCAAAAGTTGAAGACTCTTGGTGAAAAATGTGTAGCAGGAAAATAATAGAAAATTTTAGCCAAAATTGTGCTACTGTAACTGTGGAAGTATTGAATGTAATTATCATTAAGTCACTACTAAATTCAAAAGGCTGATTTTTGCACCTCCAGCTCTGCTGTCCACCTTCTACAGCTCATTCTCTGTCCTGGAAGATTGGCCTGTGGAGACAAACTTGCCCTCTGGCTTCCACATATTGATTTAGGGGCAGGAAAGCAGAGGAATGAGATAGGAGTCAGGCTAATGGGCCCCGGGCCCCCTCTGTGAGAGCAGGACTGGCTGTTTCCAGGCAGGAGTGCCTCCTCTACTCAGCTCTTTCCTCAGTCTTCTGCCTCACCAGTGAAGTCTTCTGGTGGAAAGCTTTTGGTTTCTGTTCTCCATTTGCTACAATGACTAAAGATTTGGGATTTAAGTGTCAAACTTTTAGACTTTATCTCAACTTATAAAATCAGTATTTCCAGAATTATATTACTCTTTTTAGATTGGCCTTGAGGGAACTTTTTAGTGTGATAAGAAAGTGCCAAAACTGGATTTGGGTGGTGGTTGCACACATGTATATTTGCTAAAAATCAGCTAATCATGTACTTACAATGAGTGAATTTTATGGTATATAAAGTAGACCTCCTTAAAGCTGAGAAAAAAAATCTGAAATTTCTGGTCTGTCTCGTGAATATTGGGCATTCTCTTCAAATACCAGAAAAAGTAATTGAAAAATATGGTTTCTTTCCCAAGTTCTCCCCACTCCCTGAATTTTTTTGTGTGTGTGTTTAAGATGTCTTTAGAATGCGAAAAATTGCCAGTGTTTATATCATTAAATTATTAGCGTGATTTGTAATCAATGTTGTTTTAGGATCAGGAAATTTAACTGTTAGGTAATTATAAGTTATTATATTAAATCAAATATCACCATATTAAGAAGTGTAATTAAAAATTCACATATTTTGGCTAAACCAAAAACGCCTATGTATCATGTAACTCAACTCTAAAAGGAGTACAATTTCCATTTCCCTGACTTTATGGGTTAATCAGGAAACATTTTTTAAAGAACCACATATGATATTAAATTCAATATGTGGTGGACAGTTGAGAAATCATGTGTTATCTAGGTCATGAGAAATAAACTTAAAAAAAAAAGAAAACATTTCCTCTGAGGTTTTCACCAATAGATGAAATTCTGCACCCTTGTTTGTACTTTGAGTGGACAATTTGAGGACTAGTTCTGATTAACAGCAGACTTATTATTTTTCTGATTACATATCATACTTAAAAAAAAAACCAAAACGTACATATATACACACATATATTCACCCACATTGAAGATGCAAGATGAAGAAAGATACATGACATTGAATTTACAATTGAAAAAAAGGAGTTCTAGCCAAACGCCGCAACTTAAATTTAAAGGTATGAAATTCAGTTTTTTTTTAATTGGTGTGGGTTAATATGGGTATGGATTTAATATTGGTTAATATTAATATGAACATGAATGTGGACAGTAATTTCCAATATTCTGTTCTTTACTTTCTTGGACTATTTTATTTGCTTTTCTCTCTCTGTCTCTGTCTCGTCTTTCTGTCTGTCTCTCTGTTCGTCTATCCCTCTATTATTTATCAAGGTGAGGGCTAACAATTACTTGCTTATTTTATTTTATTTTTTAAAGATTTTATTTATTTATTTGATGGAGAGAGAGAGAGCACAAGCAGGGGGAGTGGGAGGGGGAGAAGCGAAGCAGGCTTCCCGCTGAGCAAGGAGCCCAAATTGGGACTCGATCCCAGGACCTTGGGATCATGACCTGAGCCAAAAGCAGACTCTTAACCCACTGAGCCATCCAGGTGCCCCAGATTATTTGCTTTTAAAGTAAGATTTTGTGTCATATAATTTCCTAAGGACATTCTCAGGAACAATACACAATCAGTTAAAATTAATAAAATTAAAATTAATATTTAGTGCCAGTCATCAACCTCCTTATCATTCATAAAAATGGCATCTTTAGTACTAGTTTTTAATTCAGCATGTCAAAAACGTTAAAATATGCTTTTCACTAGGTGGAAAATTTTGTTTTGGAAAGTAGAGATACTAACCTGAAAGACCACAAAATGTAATGGCTCTTCTGTGTAAACTTTTTTTCACACTCAGTTTGTAGATGCCACTCTGAAACCAAAATGTGTTTTGGTTCAGGAAAGGAGCTCAGGAGGCTGCAAATAATAAATGTGTAACCCTAGCTATTTAAGTGGCATACTGATATTCATCCTTTACCAATGTATCCTCTGCTAATAGTAAAATTTGCTAATATTTAGTAAAGCTTACGGTATGATACACATTCGAATCTAATTGACAATTTAAGCCCTGTCATTTTACACAGGGCTTTTACTTAACTCTGTGACTATATATTTGTATATTTTTTCTCATGTCTTGGTGCTAATGAAAATAAGAAAGTACATTTTTTGCCACTATCTAAAGCTTCAGAATCACTATAGAAATAGTATTACTAATAATATAGCTACTTAAAGCAGATTGAAATGTTTTTGCAGGGGTTTTTTGTCCTTAGTATATATTCCATCAGGCAAGCACAGTCAAATTATGCTTTAAAATTGCTTGGGGGAGCCTGGGTGGCTCAGTCAGTTAAGCATCTGCCTTCAGCTCAGGTCACTATCTCAGGGTCCTGAGATCGAGCCTCCCCACCCTCCCAGTCTCAACAGGGGGTCTGCCTCTCCCTTCGCCTCTTCCCACCTGCTTGTGCGTGCACATGAGCTCTCTCTCTCTCAAAGAGATAAATAAAATATTTTTAAAAAATTAAAAATAAAAAAATAAAATTGCTTGAAATACTTCCTTTCTACGGATTAGGACCCTTTACTTCATATTCCATTTCATTTTTAGGGATCGCTTTTTTTTTCATTTTGACTACTTATTTTATAATTATGTATAAGTATACATATTATGCAATCATAACAATATACATAATGCCTATTATATATTAGAATCATTTTATAATTATTTAAAACATTTATATATTTTCAAAGTCAAACCTATATAGCAAGGTACTTCCAGACATCTCCAGCTCCCAAAGATCCAGCTTCTGTCTTGCTGTTTTCACCCTGCTCTCTCCTT